CTGATGATTGGAAACTGGGCAGATTTAAACTCTAAAAAGAGAGAGAGGGAGAGCAAGAGAATAAATTGAAGTATACTGTAAATCTTGTATATTTCAAGTGATGGTAATTTTCGTATACCATACAGCGCTTTATTTTCAAGGAGCTAAACTTTTGCTATTTTCGTGGTTAGTATGAAACCGTGAAATTAAAGATCCACTAAAATTTCAATTGCCAATAAAGGTGTGGCACTAACATTGTGAATCCGCAAAAGTTATTTATGTAAAAAATATATTTTTATCAATCCGCGAAATTTTAGCTCCGCAAAATTAAAGTGCTATACGGTAGCAATGAGGCATACTAAATTTAGAATTGCTAATATTTCCTTTTTCCTATTAATACCAAAGGTCGGGATATATTCGTGGCTGCTTATTTTCGCGATAATAAAAACTAATAAAAAGGTTCAATTAAATACCATGAAAACCAATTGATTGTCGCTATGACAATAAGACCACGTGTTTATACAATTACAGTTTTCAGCAGCTAATTGTCTATTCTTTAGCAGCTTTAGTGGGAGTTATCCAGTTCTCCATCCGCTATCTTCTTGTATGGACCACTACCTTCGAGCTCTTTGCTGGAAATCCTTGCCGCTCCACTTGTTAGTGATAATTAACCACGCCCAAGTTAATAAATGGGTGGGGAGTCCCAAGAATGGGGCCAATGGGCCAAGATACGGCGAGGCAGAGTGAGGAGAGTAGCTCTGGTTAGAACAGCTCCAAAGAGACCCAAGATTAGTAAAAACAAGAAGAACAACAACCCAAGAACACTGCAACAGAGTCCTTTGCTCTTAATATCGCGGCATTTTCAATTAAAATTGCATCTGGTAACCATGGTAATTGCTAGTGCGGGAAAAATCGCGAAAATAAGCAGCCATGAATATATCCCGACCTACGGTATATCGGGCTGATTGGGCAACATATCAAATTTTCCAGTCTGTATTTTATTAGTAACGCGGTAGCGTTACTAAGTAGGATTCACCACCAAACAAAATGGCTGCCACGACTTTTGCAGCCTTGGCATACTGGGAAAACGAGCTCCTATGCTTACCAGACTTTATAGAGGACCTTATCTTGACCAGAGGACTCCAATGGTACAACTAGCGTGGCTCTAGACCTTTTCTAAGCGAAAAGTCAAAAATCGGCGAACCGGCCGTTTTGTTCAGCCACCTTTTTTCATCTTCATCATCATCATCATCATCATCTTCATCAAGTCCTGTCAATCCAGTTGTCGGTGTGTATCTCAGTATCAGTTGGTGCTACGAGAATAATTCTTACACCAATCTACTCCAACAGTCTATGCGCAGGTCCATGTCCCATTAGATCATTCTTCAAGTAAGGAAAAAGTGATACTGTGACAGTGTGACTGCTGGATAGAGCCATCTTAGTTACATGCCGCCATTTTGTTAATTAAAGAAGCTTGCCATGTGCTCCAAAATTTGGGTGTGGTCGCGCATGCTCAGATCTGCAGCTCTGGAAGAAGCAAGTTATTTTTTTACCAAGCTATGCTTGGAATCAACTTACTGCAATACTATAGTGGAGGTTTCCAGCTAAAAGAAGGTATTGATTTTACATGTTACTGTTTTATCAAGTGTTTTATTTTATTTTATTTTAAAAAACAAACAATTAATTAATGTTATGACTTATGATATGCAATGATAATTATGAACTTGACAACAGCCTGGAAGAACAGGAATAGCAGGGAAGATGGACACTCTTAGCTCACAGATTCTTGAACAAGTACTTGTGTCAAGACTAGTATTAGTTTCACTTGTCATCAGGATAGTTGATATTCCTTCAGCATGTCTATTCAATGCTGTCTCTCATAAATGTTATAACAATGATAATAATAATAATAAAGAAAATTATTGTTTGTGTAAAATCAACAAGTATCACAATTACAACTAAAGAAATACTATAAATATTATTTTAAAAATCAACACAAAC